CTTATGGAGGGAGCTACTGTGTGCTGGAAGCTAGGTCCTTCGTAAATTGTCTCCACGAGACTTGTCCAGCCTTACGTGTCTCCAGTGACTCTCTCCACTCCAGTCACTTTCATGCCTTGACCCTATTAACATTCCCCCCACAAGAAGCCTGGTCTTCTATGCCGTTCTTTCCATGGTTTTCTCCTACCTGCTATTCTATTCCTAACTTTGAATCAGCTCCACAACATGAAAAAGAGAGAGAAAACTTTCCATCACTAAATTAATAAAATTTGTCACTAAATATTTGTAGTCAACTTGCAAACTTTGGTTTGAAAGCTATTTAAATCCATCAATTTCAGTACAAAATCCAGTTCTTTACACTTTAAGAAACTTCAGTCTCACATGCACAAAATTTGCTTCATATATATTTGATAAGAATTAAATAGTACAAAAGGATTCATCGCAACATTCCTTAAAATATGAATGTTGTTACAACATTAAATGGTTTGCCTGACTTTGTCATTTTTTAAAAAAATTCATTCTACATACAACGAGAAAGCTAATTCAAACTAGATACTTAGAGAATTTGCAGATGAGCAAGGAGAAGAAACGATCAGCAGGAAGTGTGTGGAGTCTAGTCTGAGGGGCAGTTTTTGCAAGTCCTTGGTCATGGAAATTCACACATGGAAAACAAAAGCCCTAATATCTAGTTTCTCTTTCTCCCATTGTCCAGGGTACGTATGCTGGGGGTGGGGGTGGAGTGACATAAAATGGATGGAGCCAGTAAGTGGAATTTCCTTACGCTTTCCCTTTCTCTGTAGGAGATAAGAGAATGAACTTGGCAAGCAAAACACCTAGTTACAAATTCAAGTTCCACCCTTTCTAGTGGAGTGACCTTGGGCAGGTAAGCTGCCCTCCTAAGGTTTTGGTTTTCTCATCTGTAAAATGTAGAAAATAAAACCTGCTATTGCATAGGTTCTTATAAGGTTTAAAGGCAATACAGTATGAAGAGTGCTTTGCAAGCTTTCAAGGGCTTTTTATATGCTAGTTATAACAGGCTACAACTGCTCCCCTAACAAAGTGGCAGTCCCATATGTAGGCAGTCTTTCAAGTAGCTCTGTTCCCCAAATCAACCCTTTACCTACATTATGGCTGGCTTTGCCACAACACTATCTCCACAACAAAGTTTTAAAACCAAAATACTGAATTTTAGATACAAGAAAAAGTAGGTTTATATAAACCCCAACAATTTAGCAAAAGCTTCTATTTAGGTTTCTCCATTGGATTTTTTTGTCTTGACCCCTAGCTATTATAATATTCCTATTGGATTTCTTTCGTTATTTATTCTCCTTAAATATTAAACCATGACGACCTTTCCATTAAGTTTGTCCAAGATGAAAATAAGAAAAGTCAAATTAAACATTGATAGCCCCTCTGCTAAAAATAAAATAAGCTGCTCTAATCCCTTAATTTCTTTTGTAGCCATGAAGTCATCCTTAGTAACTGTGGCAGAAACGGTAGCACCAATTGTATATTCCATGTGCTTTCCATTTGTCAGGCTCCCTTACAATTAGATTGGGGCCACATAACTAATTCTGACCAAGGGACGATGAGTGGAAGTGATGTGTATGAAAGAAGAGCAGTGCAAGTTCTTTGCTCTTTCTCTTCCCCTGCAGAACTTTGAGGTCCTATGAGATGGCTGCTCCACCAGATGGAGGACTCCCAAAACCGAGCCAGAGATGGGGAGAGCTGCCATCAGATTTGCATGAATGAGAAATAAATCTGATATGCTGGGACTCTAAGATTCGGGGGCTTATTCATCACTGCAGCATAGTTTGTCTTGTAAAGAGATAAAGGTCCTGAAGGTAGAAAAATGTTCTCTATAAACTTACTACCTAATTAGAGTGAATCCTCAAGAATGTACAAGTATGTTGACTAAGGGGGAAACGGGAAGGCAGGAAGGGAGTCTGAAGACACCATAGCAACGACAATGACCTTTTGTACTAAAAATCAGGCATGTTTTGGCAGAGACACACTTGTAGTTTAACCATAGAGATTGTTTTAAAACAGAGGAGGCATCCCTTTAAAAGCCCCTGTTTATGTGCTGATATTTAATGTGCTGTTTTCACTTGTTAGTGCAGATACCTATAACACAAGAGGAGAGTAATGCAAGAGGAAGCATCACCAGCCTGCCTTACCATCCCCACTCATATATCAGATAATAACAAGTTTCCAGATTGTAATGTCCTGGGGTCTATTATTTTACTGTAAGAAATAGAATCATATCCTATTTTAGGGATGGGGTTATCAAGGGTATAATAAATTTTTACCATTTGTTACTGTAATTGCATAGAGTACATTTTAAAAGTAATAAATCTCAGATCATCTGACCAAAGGTAACTCCCTAGTCCACAGGACTCTGAGTGGAAACAAAAGCATCTCAGAGGAGAGTTTCAGCCCCGAGTTGACCTTTTCCAGGTGCTGCTAACATTGTCAGGAGACTGAGTTCTCATCTTAACATCTCTGGAGTAATTAGGTCATCAGAATCCAGTTCTGCACAGGCCATTGTATGACCCTTTTACAGAGTTGACCAATAGCCCCATGCAGATGTAGCATGATAAATTGGGGGTCCTGGGGTTAGTATCCTCTTACAAGAACCTTAAGCACCATTCTAAGAGTCTTTGGCCTTGTTTACTAAATGTGCCAGTGTAGTTTATAAGAGGCTGATTCACATCATGTCTTGCCTAAAGTATTTTCCAGCCCTGTTATTCTCCCTAGTTTCCAGAATCCCCATTATGCAATAGCTAGAGCAAACTTTTCAAAACACAATCCATACATGCTCCCTGCACAATGGTTTTAGTTTCTCCCCACTGCCCTCAGGATCAAGTCCAAACTCCTTAACAGACCATCCAAGGCACTCCACCCTCTGGCCCCCACCAACCCACCTCCTGAGCCTCATCTCACTTCCACTCCCTGCCTTGAACTATGTATTCACAGGCTTCCCAAATATTCCAGCCTTTTCACACCTCCCTGCTTTCTGCACATGCTAATTCCTCTATCCTTGGTCCTCTTCTCCAATTGGAAGTTCATCATTCTGATGCACTTGACATTTCTATTCCCAGCACCTAGCACAGACAGGTACATTGTAAGATCTGAAAAAAATATTTGTTGAATAAATAAATTAATAAATGTACACTTCAAATGTGTATATAGAGAGTGTCTCACCCAAACCTTTACACATAGCAGAAGCTCAGTAACCATTTGTTGAATGAATTATTAAGCTCTTAACAATCGGTTCAGTTCTTGGTTGAACAAGAAGGGGTTCTCTGTGGCTCTTTCACCAACATTCTCAATAACCACAAAACAGGAAAATAATTCTGTAAGTTAGGTGCTCATGTGAAGCCATCCCTGAACATCCAGTGGAACCCAAGTTTTAAAGGCCAAGCAATGCAATAACCCAGCATCTCTTTAATAACTAAAAGAAAATGAGTCGGCAATGTTTGCTGTTGTTTTTATGATATGTTTCAATGGCCACCTTATTGGGCAATGCAGATACAGAACGTATCCATCATCATAGAAAGTTCTATTGGACAGCTTTGCTCTAGAAAGAACAAGGCCAAGAATTGCTGGGGTGGATTGAGCAAGGAAGAGAGTAAGATGAAGTCATAGAATTTAAAGAACACAATTTCATAGAAGCTTGGTGGCCATCTTAGGAACTGTGGCTTATTCTGACTGAGATAGAAGCCCGCGGGGTTTGCCAGAGGAGAAACTTGACCTGACTTGACATTTAGAAGAATCACTTTGGGTTATTCATGTAATAATCCAGATGAAAGATGACTGAAAGTGGACAGGGGTGGTAGCAGTGGAAATGATGAAGGTGCTCAGGCTCTGTGTAAATTTAGAAGCTGGTACCAACAGGTTACGCTGGTGAAAAGGATATGGAGAGGTTCATGATGAAAATAAATTAAGAAAGAGGTTTGTGTTTGGGGCATAGGAGAGGCTAATGTCGGTTTTGACTTTGAGATGACAGCACAATTGAAAAACATCCAGGCCTTTTGAGCATTCTGAGCCTTGCCTCTGCTTCGGGGCCTGCTCCAAACTCTTTGGAGTATACTTTCTTTTCTAATAATGGCCCTTGAGCTATTCTCTACTGCTTGGGCACACCTTTGCTTCTTTGAAATGTATTTTTACTTCTAACAAACTCCTTTTCTGCAATTTAAAAAAAAAAAAAGAAAAACATCCAATGGTCAACTGGAGAAGTGAGAACTCAGATGAGAACAGGCCCTGAATATAGATTCATCATATATGAATATAAGACTCATCAGCATACATTTAAGAGCTGAAGCAGGAATGGAGGTAGAAGGTAAGATTTCTAAAGTCTGGCTCTTGAAGAACAGCCACAAGAAAAAGTGGATTAAGGCCAGGAGACAAATAACAAATTATTAGAGTCTTAGAAGAATGGGGGTGTCAACAGTCAAATGCAACAGAGAGGCCAGAGAGTTGAAGAAAATGATGGGAAACGGACACATAATTTGGAAAGGCATTGGTCTCTGAGAGAAGTCTTTTCTCTGTGTGTGGGTGGGTAGAGGGAGAAGCTAGATTGAAAGGTTTCATTGAGAACAGAGGAATGGGATGGACCACTGAGAAGGGAAAGTACAATAAACTGTGACATTTCTCAATACTTACAGGAATTTCCAAAACAATCATTTAATTTGGTCCAGCTAAATCCTAGTGTCATTTGTGTTAAATGTTACCTTGTGACAAACTAAATATACTTTTTTTTTTAAGATTTTTATTGGGGAATTGGGGGGATAGGAACAGTGCTGGGGAATTGGGGGAAGGAGAACAGAAAAGTTGCTGTCATTTTGTTCTTCAGTCTAGTTGTGGAGGACGTTGCTTCACTGGCCAAGTTGGCACCATCATTGCGCTCTTCCCAGGCGAGGCAGATCAGTCGCCGGCTTCTGGACGGCCACTCACTGCGGCTGCTGGCCACTCACGCTGGCTGCTGGCTACANTCAATCTTTAGAAGATGTGCTAACTTTGCTGATTTTCATCAAAATATTAAGGTAATGTATAGTAATTATCATTTACATTGGTTTGGGATGAGCAGAGATAACAGAAATCCAAATTATTTCCCAAATAATATTGGTTACTTGGTAGCAGTGGATGGAGAACAATTCCCCAAGTAAAACTTATTTTTAGGCTCATTGTTTCAAAATTTTTCTTCTGGAGCTCTTTATAAGACCTGTATTGCCCAATTTGAACTGCATATCCTATTATTTTCCCTGCTCACTTGGTGGTATTATTTAAAATTTGGCATAGGAATAGGGGTGTTTAAAAGTAGGTACAGATCACAGTAGTAAAACAAGAGTTTTGAACTAAGCTACAAGATGCATATTCAACCCTGATAAAATCAAGAGTTGAGTTTAATTTTAAACAACATCCACTTATAAACGTAATTACAAACTAACACAATTTGAAACAAGGCAAAATTTTCAGCTTTCATGTAGTAAAATATATAACTTCACCAATTACATATATGGCTACCAAACATCAACCAACAGCTCACTCCACCATATTTTAATGTTGTACATTAATAATGACAAGGCAAAGAACAGCAACTAGTCCAAAAGCTTGTAGGCCAAGGAACCACAGCATAACCCAAAAGAAAATGACCATCACTGGTTCTACAATTTGTTCTCCAAAAGATATCCTTATAAAGCCCATGTTGATGAGGCTTTTGTTCAATTCACCAAAAAGTGTTCCCATCTTTTTGTAGTCATCTCCAACAGGATTGCCAGAATGGTCTTGTAATTCTTTAAATTCCTTTAAAAACAAACAAAACAAAACATAAACATGAAGTGAGAAATAGGTGGTTTTTAAGAATTAAAGACTACCTCATAATTCTTCCAAAGTACTAGACACTTCTGATAATCATTCAATAAATACTTGGGAATGTTCCTTTTGATTGGCATACACGTATAGAATAACTATTTCTTCGCCCACATTTCAAGAATATGGAAAGCACTAATTTATTGATTTCTGTGGAAATCAACATTGACTAGACCCTCAACTACCAGAACAATGATTTACAAGATAAAGGAAGTTGATTCATTTCTATTCATTTTCTAGTTTCCTGGAATTGCACNCATTTTTCCTGGTAGGATTTCAGAAATAATAAGCTGACCTAGACTCAAAAAACTGAGATCCGAAAAGGAACTTTATCATATAGTCCAGACTCTCCCAATTAACAGAGAAGGTACTGAGAGCCAGAGAGGTTAAATCAATGGCCCCACGTCATTCAGCTAGTTCTATGCAGAGCCAGACCCTAGACTCTAGGAGGGCTGATTCCAGGTCCCCAGCTGTCTGCCTCACCGTTCTACGTGCTATGCAAGAGCGGACTCTCCTGTTTAAGACGGACTGGCCGGATGTAAAGCAAATTCAGCACCGGAGTTCTAACTTCTGGAGGTGGGGAGAGGTAACTGGAGCTGGAGTGGGGGTGGGGATTACCGGAGGGGGGGAGGGGGCGGTTAAGAAAACTTGAAGAGCACTCTGCGTTTGGTAACAGAATATTGGCTTCTTACAAATGCGCTGGCAACAGGCCTTCCAAAACCTGCCTTGGAGTTTTAACTGTGCCTCACATGCCATGCTGACCAGCATACCAGTGAAACCGCAACGTTGACAAGTGTCCGTTTCACTCCCTCTGGGTAATAAATCCTGGGTGTATTGTAAAAATCTATCCTGATACAACCCCTGAGTATCCCCAAGAGTAGAAGATTTACCCAGAGGTAAGATGAGGGTTATAGTAAAAAATAAAAATTCAAGTTGGGGGTAGTGGGTGGATTGCTGGTGGATGGAACGGGGGAGAGCGTGCCAGGCTTGCCCAGACCCATGACGGATCGCTGGTCTCTCCGGTTGCTAGGGCCACCAGCGTCCTTGGTTACCACTAAAGGGACTGCGCTCTCCACTGCTCCGCTCCGAGTCCCGCGCTCCGCGGGCCGCGCCACCCCAGCGCCGCCTCGCGCGGTGGAGAGCAAAGGGCGCTGGCAGACACCGGCCTGTCCTTCCTCCCCCGCGATCCCGCACTGAGGCTGGGTCCCTGCTCGGAATCACAACCGCCGCGGCTCTGCAGAGCGGCCAGCGGGATGCCTGCCCTCAGAACCCCCTCCGAGGGCTGCACAGGACTGAGAGGGGGGGCGAGCCCCGGGGGTCTTCCACCCTGACTCACGTTGTACTCCCTCAGCCAGAGCTCCAGCTTGTCCTGCATCGATCGTAAGGATTCGCTGGAGACTAGTTTCCTCAGGTTTTCCGCCATCGCTCGCTTTTCCGCTCGGCCCCGCTCTGAGAGATGGAGGCGTGGAGGGGACGAGTCGGTGGCCTACGCAGGACCTCGGGTGACTTGGCGGGAAGGCTGTTACCTTCCTGAGCGGCTCAGAGCGCGGCGGATGTTTCCATCCTCCCCCGTGGGTGGTACCTGGCAGGGTTTGGGAAGCCGGGGGGGAGGTGCCCTGAGCCACCGCCGCAGCGCCTCATCCGCTGCCCCGCACAGTTTCCTGACACCCCCGCGGCTGCCCAAAGCCCGGGCCATAAATACCAGGGCGATTGTTAAACAAACCTTGACGTGGGTGGGCGGCCGCTAGCGACGCGCGCCGCCGGCGTCGTGGCAACGCTCCGGTCGCCGCCCAGCGCCCACTGCGCCCTCCACCCACCTGGAGCCCAGCAGCCCTCCCGCTAGCCTCGGGGTTCCCGGGCACCCGCCAGGGAATGCAGTGTTGCTGCTCCTAATGCTGCTGCAGCAGCCGCTGTTGTTACTGCTGCTGCGGGCCCCAGGCGAGGGCGCCTCCTACCACGGAGACTCCAGGTTGGGCCAGGGGCTGGAGGGAACCAAGACTACAGACAGCGGCTGCAGCGGACCGGCCCTCAGTGTGGAATACGGGCGGGCGGGGGCAGGGGGAGGGGAGTAGGGAGAGGCAGGGGGTCAGCTGGAGACCTCTTGTCTAGAAAAGCAACGATTATTTCTCCATAGAAGTTTTTCGTTAGGAAAGCATGTTTGGCGCCTTCTTCATTCTTTCACTTCTCAGGCCTTTAATCTTTTATTTGTTATTAATACTGAGGGCTTACCTATATGAAACTTGCTTTAACTAAAATTTCAATTCTTCCTGCTCTGTCTTTTACTTCGTTCCTTGGCCCACTGGGTGGTTGCCCAAGTCAATAGATTTTAGCTCAAGGATGTTCACAAATTAAAATTAATACCTCAGGATTGGACAAGTTTTGGTAGTTTAGAAGCCCTAAATTTATATGCCATGAAATGATGTACTGATTGTAATCATCCTTATCTATTTATTAAAGCAGTAGAGGTGGAGCAGGGCCTCAGCACACTAATTATTTTCTTTAGGTACTTGAAAATATATGAACATTGCATATGTCCAAGTACCATAAAATTCAGAATTTTAACCACCTCTTGTTTTTAATTCTCTTAATTACAGTGGTTTTACTGTCCTTTAATAAAAAATGAAAGACTCATTTTTGGAACCTGTTTTCCTACTATTTTCTGTAGATCACAAAAATGACTATAAGGTTACATAACACATGTTATTCTATCACAGTAGGATAATTACTAAAGTTAAAAAAAATACCAAAAAAAACCCCCACTAAATATTCATTAGACACCTTTTTCCTTTAAAAAAATACATAAAGAAAGAGGAAGGGAATGGGGGAAAAAACCTCAGGTTTTTTTGTTAGTTTCAGGTGTACGAAACAACATAATGATTAGACATTTACACCCCTCACAAAGATAACCCCACCAAGTCTACTATCCATCTGACATCGTACATCGCTATTACAATACTGTTGACTATATTTCCTATGCTGTACTGTACATTCCATGATTATGTATATATGCGCATATATATTTAATTATAGTTGACATTCAATATTATTTCATATTAGTTTCAGGTATACAGCACAGTGGTTAGGCATTTATATAATTTATGAAGTGATTCCTCCCAATAAGTCCAGTACCCATCTGACACCCTTCATAGTCTTTACAACATTATTGATTATATTCCCCATACTGTATTTCACATCCCCGTGACTATTTTGTGACTACCAATTTGTACTTCCTGATCCCTTCACCTTTCTCAACCATCCCCCAACCACGCTCCCATCTAGCAAACAGCAATTTGCTCGTCTATTTCTGTTTTGTTTAGTTGTTTATTCTGGTCTTCAGATTCCACATTTAAGCGAGATCATATGGTAGTTGTCTTTCTCAGTCTGACTTATTTTACTTATAATAACTCCTAGATCCATTCATGTTGTTGCAAATAGTAAGATTTCATTTTTTGCATGGCAGAGTAATACTCCGTTGTATAAATGTACCACAGTTTCTTTATCTAATCAACTATTGGTGGGCATTTCAGTTGTTTCCATATCTTGGCTATTGTGACTAGCACTGCAGTAAACATAGAGGTGCATATATTTTTTTGAGTTAGTTGTTTTGGATTTTTTTGGATAAATACCCAGGATTGGAATTGCTGGGTCATAAGGTAATTCTATTTTTAATTTTTTGAGGAAACTCCATACTGTTTTCCACAATAGCTGCACCAGTTTGCAATCCCACCAACAATGATCCAGGGTTCCCTGTTTTCCACATCCTCATCAGCACTTGTTTGTTGATTTACTGGGATGGTATCTCATTGTGGTTTTTATTTGCATTTCTCTGATTAGTGACGTTAAGCATGTTTTCATATGTCTGTTGGCCATCTGTATGTACTCTTTGGAGAAATGTCTCTTCATGTTCTCTGCCCATTTTTTAAATTGGGTTATTTGTTTTTTTGGTGTTAAGTTGTATGAGTTTCTTTATAAATTTGTATCATTGGCAAATATCTTCTCCCATTCAGTAGGATGTCTTTTTGTTTTGTTGATGGTTTCCTTTACTGTGAAAAAACTTTTTAGCTTGATGTAGTCTCATTTGTTTATTTTTGTTTGTTTTCCTTCCCCGAGGAGATATATCAGTAAAAATGTTAGTAAGGGTAATATCTGAGAGTTTACTTCCTATATTTTCTTCTAGGAGCTTCATGGTTTCCGGTCTTACATTTAAGTCCTTAATCCATTTTCAGTTTATTCTTGTATATGGCATAAGAAGGTTGTCCAGTTTCTTTTTCTTTTTTTTTTTGCATGTATCTGTTCATTTTTCCCAGCGCCATTTATTAAATATACTGTCTTTACCCCAATGTAAATTCTTGTTCCCTTTGTTATAGATTAAATGATCGTATAGGCATGGATTTATTTCTGGGCTCTCTGTTCAATTGATCTATGGGTCTGTTTTTATGACAACACCATGGCTGTTTTGATTATTATAGCCTTGTAGTATAATTTGATATCAGATAAAGTGATACTTCCAGCTTTGTCCTTCTTTCTCAGGATTGCGGTGGCTGTTAGGGGTCTTTTATGGTTCCATATAAATTTAAAGACGATTTGTTCAAGTTCTCTGAAAAATGCCACTGGTATTTTGATAGGGATTACATTGAATCTATATATTGCTTTGGGTAGTATGCAAATTTTTAACTATAATTCTTCCTACCCATGAGCATGGTATATGTTTCCATTTATTTGTATCTTCTTTATCTCTTCAATGTCATAATTTGCTGAGTACAGGTCTTTTACTTTCTTGGTTAAATTTATTCCTAAGTTGTTTTTTTCATGCAATTGTAAATGGGATTGTTTACTTAATTTCTCTTTCTGATAGTTTGTTATTGGCGTATAAAAATGTAACCAAGGGCCAGCTGAGTGGTGCGTTGGTTAAGAGATGGCTTGGGCGGCCAGAG